CAGACTCACGCAACACATGCAATGATGCCAGATGCAGGAAGATCACAGGCCAGTGGGTGGAAAGTCATGTGGATCCAGTGGTGTAAGCATCTCAGGGCTGGCGTGGGTTTCCCAGATGGCTGCTCCAGCTCAGGGTACTAGCGTAGCTCCATGTGTCTTGTCAGCCACAATGTCTCCCAGGGAGTGAGCAGAGAGCGTGTCTCCCACCTCTAAGGAGGAAATACAGGAGTTTCCAGAATCCTCAGGGGGCTATGCCCACACAGAAGCCTCATTGGCTATCATCTGGTTGACAGGCTAGACTCCACCCCTTTGTTCTGAATCCTCAAATTGACACCAGATTATGGAAATACCATATGGGGGGGGTACATGTTTTCTCTTTTGTTTGCCTGTTCTCCATGCGGCGCGCCATGGACACACTGCAGGTGTCCACCATGTCCACCGGCTGGCCTGTGAAAAACGGGGCCACAAGGCTGGGGTGGGGTAGAGGCACAGCTCCCAGCAGACAAGAACACGGAAGCCACCCCAGTCTGACCAGCTGCAAGCGAACTCCGGCATGGGTGGACACAAACGGGGTCCTTGCCGACCCACCTGGGCACCACCAGGACATCCTGGAGCAAGCCACCCAGCCAGTGTCCTTGCCTTCACAAGAAGGGACACATAGAAGCACACAGAGAAGGACCCACCACATGGAATGGTGACTACCTTCCAGTGGACACGTGGGGCCACCGGAACTGATGGGGATGGAGCAGAGAGCTGGCCCTGAGGACGGGTGACAGTGTAAAACAAGAAGTCCCTGTCGCTAACACATTACCCACTCGGGTGGGCACTCTGCAAGGGCAGCCCCAGGACACAGCATGCCAGCTCCTGGGGCTGGGTGTGTCCACCTTGTCCTCCCAGTCTTCCTCCTGAGGATCCTGCCTGGAACAGTGTTGGGGGAAAGGTGTTCCAACAGACAGCCGTCTTCCTTCCTCCGGGTTCCGGGCTCCCGGCAAAGCCCCACTGGGGCAGCTACGGAATTCCATGTCAGCTTGACGGTAGATAAACGTGTAGGGTGGTAGTCACAGCGTGATGGCTATTGACAGTAGCTTCCCCAGCACCACAATGCAGACGCACCGATTCTTCCTCGGTCTTCCGGGATCAGTGTCCAACTTCCACCTGCATATGAGGCAATGGAGAAAACCATGGCGAGGGTCAGGAGCACCTCAGTCCTCAGAGTGACCTCCCTGCTTTTTGACACTCTACAGAGCTCTTGTGCTGCAGGTTTACCGGATGCAACGCACTTCCATGAGCCCCGATTGTGGATAGAAGCAAGACCAAGTCCTTGACAACAACAAACGTTCCTCCATGCATCCTGACGTCACCTATTGGCCCAGTTGTGGGAATTGGGGTCTTCCTGACATTGAGTTGTCATCCACGCCGAAGGCTGGAACCCCTGGTCTTCATCAGCAAGGGCTTCCAGTCCTCCCCACTCCCCGCGAGCACGGCTGCGTCCTCTGCTTGTGCATAAGCCTCCCTTCCCCACTGGTGCCGCACTCGGCTGTCTTCAGAGAATCCAGCTTCTCTGATGAGTCGCTCAGCGCAGATGGTACAAGTCTGGGGAGAGGCTACAACCCTGACGCGACGTTTAAAATCAGGAGACGTATGCATTGCAGCTCACCAGTACACCCCCAAACCTCCCTTCCCCCAGTCCAGTGAAACATCAGCACCTCCATCCCGGACTAGGGGATGCAACCCCAGCCACCCCACCAGCCCTGACAGCCGAACTTGGGCCCTAGCAACAAGTGCTAGCGCTTAGCAACGAATCCCAGCCCTCCCGCCGCGGGCCCCAACTCCCTGGTAACCAGACTTCAGCCCTTAGCAACAGGACCCCAGCCTTAGCAACACATCCCAGCCCACAGTGACCCCAGCACGGGATGCAAATCCCTGACTCCTGGGCTCTGTCCCCAGTGGGAGGCCTTGGTACCATCTGAGGGATGGCGTCCCGCAGACCACCTTCGTAGAGTCGGCTCGTGCTCCATTGGGTCCTCGGTGGCTGGTAGGCCGGTAGATCGCCAGGCCTTTCTTCGGAGGCACTTCCGGCTGGAGAGGAGGACCTGTTTCTTAGCAACTCAGGTGTTTACCATTGGCACCACCCAGCCCCCCCTCTCCAGGGTCTGAGCCCCGTCATTTGAATGGCCCCCGTCTCCCCCACCTTGGGGAGGCGGGGTTAGAAACCACACTTGACCTGTGGTTAACCCTGGGTGAAGGAGGAAGAGTTTACGTGGCGGAAAAATCTGGAAAACGGTATCTATCAGGAATGCCTGCACAGCAGGAGGCGTATCATCAGTGGCACTGAACTTGAAAGGCAAAAGTTGTCCTTGACTTGGAAAAGTGACTCGTTATGCATAGTTTTGCCACCGTTTCAAAAAACAGAAACACGGACACTCTGACGACGGAGGACCCCGCCGGCCTCTGGGATCCGCGGGACCCGGGCCCCGCGCCGCCTCGGGCTCTGACACCGACGAGTCTGCGGCTAGAGGGGCGCCCTGCAGTCCGTACTGCCTTGTGGGAACGCAGCCCGGCCGCCGCCGGAGGACCTGCGCCCCACGGCATGACGGGAGTTGTAGTCTAGTAGAGGCAGGCGTCCAGCGCTTCCGCAGCTCGTCGATGCATTTCAATTGGTGTTCCCTCCGTGTCTGGAGCTTTGTATTCGGCTAGTGCTTTCAGTGCAGCTTGTACTTCTTCCTTCAGCACGCTTGGCTCTTGCTCCTCTGCTACCTCCTGAAATGGTGGCGTGTCGACTATTTCTTTCTGGTGCAGTGACTCTGTGCAGTCCGTCTTTGGAGGCTTCCTGTGTCGTGCAATATTTTACCTAGAATCTTTCAAGACTGCAAGGCGTGGCGTGAACTGTTGTGAGTTCTTTGTTTCAGATGTGCTGAGCAGGTCCTTCCCTTTGGGTTGACTAATCCCAGGTCCTTGCACGTCCCGTGATAACGTTTGGCTTTGTCTCCTCCGGCTGCCCTTTGAATGTTCCACTCGGCTCCTGGACTGCATCCTTTCTCCCACGTGCTTGTAGCTCCTCAGGGCTAGAGCAAGTTTCGGGGTTTCTTCCGACAGCCACGTTGATCTTTTTTTTTTGGTGTTCTTGTTGTCCTCCTGTGGTTGTTTGTTCTGCGGCTGCTTGTTGTGGTTGTTTCATCTTCTGTTGTCTTGTTGAAGGGGTGGTGTCTTGTCTGTTGTTCATGTGGTCGCTTGTTGATCTCATTAGGAGGTACTAGGGAGATAAATAGCTCACCAGAGGCCAGACCCACACTCTCGCTGCTTCGTCTTCCTGCTGACAAGCCACATGGAGCTACGCTGATGGAGCCAGTAACCTGGAGCTGGAGGAACCACGTGGAGACCCACACCAGCGTTGAGATGCTCCCACCGCCACTAGACCCACAAGACCTTCTACCCACTGGCCTGTGATCTTCCTGCATTCAGTATCATTGCATGTGCTGTGTGAGTCTAAAGAAGAACTTATGAAAAACAAAAAGAAGAATGTATGAACTGATATGGGACATACAGGCTAATATCAGACTTATGGACTTGATCTGGACTGAGCAGTGATATTTTCTTAATATACAATTACTCTTTATATAAAGCTCTTTCTAATACACATATGAGTCTTCCTGGATTTGTTTCTCTAGTCAACCCAGACCAACACACTCCTCTGCAGGCCGGACAGCACAGCTGCAGTGTCAGGGAGTGTGGTAACCACCTGGCCGTCCACACGTTCAATCCGGGGCACCATCATGGTAACAACAGCCTGGACGAGGGCTGGACACTGCTCCACCTGCAGATGACCTATGTCAACCCTGGACACTGGCACGAAGCCAGCAGGACCAACTCGCCCAACAAGATACTAGCTGCCGTGTAAGGGTGTCTGGTACCCCCTTATCTCTGCTCAGTCGTCATTCCTGCCAGCTCACCAGTGGGTATCTGAAACCTCTCTTTGGAGCACACCATTGTCCCCACCCCATCATCATGGGGCTGTTCCATGTCCCCAACAGGCTACATTGTCTGATTATCTCATTGTGGGTGCCTGAAGCTTCCCTCCACAAGATTTGCTATTGTCCCCTTCGATACAATCGCCCCCTTCCCCCACCATCCCTGCACCCTGATGGGGGGGGGGGCTGAGGTCACAGAAGTCAGGCTGGGCTTCTGAAGACCATGACAACTCCCACTCTGGTCCCTACCCTCAGGGTGCCGACCAGCTGTGAGCTTCAGGCACCCGGACTTGGGGAGCTGACACCTCAACACAAGCTCTCACCCAGATGTGCCTTCTGGCCCTGCAGCTCAGGACAAGAGGCTACCTCATGCTCTGTGGCCCAGGACATCCCCAGGCTCCCAGAGAGTGGTCTCAGCCCAGAACCATGTCTAGACACGACAGGGGGGGCAGGGGGGAGTGTTGGCCCAGATGCTGGGCTCTGTGTCTGGATGTAACTTCACAGACCTCTGGCTCCGGCCAAGGCCACATTCTCTGCTTCCCCAGTTCAGGGAAGTTTAGACCTGTCTCCCCACCCCAACTCCTCATTCTGTCGTCCCCACACCCCACCCCTCCTCAGCCCTAGGCCCTGGTGAGTCTTCAGACAGCAGCATGTGGCCCTCAACTCCTGAAAAGCTTCCAACATCTTAAATGCCGGTCCATTGGACACCAGGAAACAAACGGACCGAAGAGGCCCCTCACCCTTGCCCCCTGTGCCCATCCTGCCCTGCCCCCAGCAGGGCCACACAATCTTAGCAACCCCCTGCCTGCAGCTCAAAGTGTCCCCACTGTGACAACATGCACCTGGGCCCTGGGGTCCCCTCACCCAAGTCAGTTTCAGGGGCCAGCGGGAGAGCTGAGGGGCTGCCAGGTGGCTTAAACTTCAGGGGGTCTCCTGGGTGCCCCTCCAACCACACCTATTTATCACAGAACAACACCTGGCCCTCCAAACCAGCCTGGGGACAGGCCAGATTTGGAGGCCCTGTGGACACCCGGTGGTTGCCCTCAGACTGGCCCTCTCTCCTCCGTGGGAAGAGAACCCTCCCAAAGCTGGCCGCCTGGGGGTGGGGGTGGGGGGACGAATTCCCCACTGGGGGCTCCTTTGCCCCTTACAGCCCTGCCCACCAGGGTAGCCCCCCTTGTCCTGTACGGGGTCAGGGCAGCGGGTGGGGAGAGGATGGAAAGGGGCTGGCCGGTACCCTCTGAAGAGGAGGCTTCCTGTCAGCGGAGGACTTCCTCTGGGTGGGACAGTGCCGGGAAGCGGTGGGGGCGGGGGAGCACAGGGGGTTCTCTCAGGGGGTAAGTGCCGGGGGCAGGGGAAGGGCATGGAGGACCTTCAGAGAGTGAGCCCCCGTGGATCTTGGGGCCCCTCGTGCCCCTCTCATCAG